GGGGGGGGGGGGGAAATTCTTCAAATAAATACTTTCATCCTTCACCCGCTCTTCCAAAACAATAACCCCTCGGGGGCGGAGGGGAGCAGCAGCCTTTCGGGGGCGGCTCCGCCTGGAAACTCTCGCCAATATCCAGAGTGTTAGGGACCCCAGAACCGCCTTAGTGACCCCTGAACCGCAAACTGCGTGTGCAGGAGTCAGGGTGTTGCAGAGGTAACTGGGGAGGACAACAAATGGACAGGGCTTCACCTGGGTGACACCGGGCTCTGTTTTCACACTCTGCACCTCGCTCAAGATTGAAAGTACAATTTCTTTGAAGTCTCCGCTCTGAAAAAATGTTATCTCAGAAATGAAGCCAAAGAAGTGTTTTGTTTTGTCCTTTTAATGCAAATGCCAACCTAAAACGATTAACATTAAAGAGGTTAAAGACCAACAAAAACCACTGATTAGTACTTGATTGTACACCACATTAAAAGTACACGGCTTTGGGGAAATTTTTTTCAACTAATATAAAAGTCAACAGAAAGACAGGGTTGATTACACAGTGTTTTAGGAATGGCTTGGTATCATCAGTACAAACACATATTTTAAAAGTGCACATTTTAAAAAATAACCATAGAATCGAAACGTTTATAAATATTTATTGTAAAAAAATCCAAATATTAAAAAATAAATAGTATGTTCAAACTCACAACAGAACATTCCTTCATTACCAAACATGTGATGAAGGGAAATATGGAATATAAGATGTCTGGAAAGTGATACAACATATCAACATTGCAAATGTTTTTTGCGAGCTACATTTTCAGAGGGTTCTCCTCTGTACAGTTCACAAGGAATGTGGTAGATTTTCCCATAAATATGCCAAGACCCAGAATTAATAATAACAATAACAATAATAATAATAATACCCACTCCACTGCAGTTTGACTCGGTCTTTACTCAGGAAAAGTCCCATTAAATTAATGGGGTTGCTTAGAATGGCAGGATTGGGCTCAGATCATTCTGTAGCAACTAAAACAGAAGCACACTGATGAGTTACAACTTCAAGGAATTCGCGTTACGAACAGAGCATTGCATGATCCCTAATGAGAAACTACTAAATAAATCTTGATCAGGGAATCATTTCAGTATACACCATGATGTTTATAAAATGAAGATACAAAAGGGATGCAGTTTGACTATCTTTACACTTACGGACAATAAAACATGAGAGCATATGGAAGCCATCGCTTTGAATGCGTTAACAACTTCGATACATTGCAGTATATACATGCTTAATAGGTATTCGGACTGTTAAAATGATCAAAGCCTTTACTCTTATGTCTATGCTCTTGCTTTCACTCTACTGGAAAGAAAACGTTTGTTGGTCACATACTGGTGTTAATGAAAGCCAACATTTCTGCCCTCTCCCAAGAACCGCATTCTGTGCAGCATATGTGTAGGAATAATTTATTAGACGTAAAAGTTCAGAGGATAAAATGCAAAAAAATGGACATCATTTCAACTTTCGAACAGTAAGGTCATACAGACATCTATGGAGGTCTGTACACAGACAGAGTTTCACACAGATACAGCCACATATATCCAGATGTATGTCTATACACAGGATTCGGTAGTTTGGTATTTTCTGCACCCTCTGGGCCCCTAAAGTTATCTTTAAAAGTTTGATTTTATCTCTTTAGAAACGGTTTAAATCTAACGGGCAGGGTGAGTTTGACAGAGAGGAGAACAAATCGCTGACAAAGAACCTTTTACGTTTCATCAGCGTTGTTAGGACGACGAGCAGGAATTTCTCAGATAATAACTCCCACTTCAAAGATTTCTCAGCTCAATAGAAATTGGACCATCCTTTTTATTCAACCACAAGGGCTGGCACTAAAGACGACTCAACTGTTTGAATTTTTTTTCATCGTGTTTATTTTTCCCCTATTCACTAGGGTACTTGGATAAAATAAACAACAAGACAATTACTGGAACATGGACTTCTAACTTTCCCGGGCCCATGGCCCAGCGCCCATGGCCCCGGTCGTGCGGGTGTCAAGTTCCCCCGCACCACGGAGCCTCCGCTCGCCGCTGCGCAGCGCCGGCCAGCCAGGGTGGGGTGGGAAGGGAAGGGGGGCACGGGCAGCTGCCCCTGGCCCTCGCCCCCTTTCCCGGGTCCTGGGGGACCTCCATCAGCACACCTAGTCCCTGGGGCTGAGGCAGCCCAAGGATGTCTCTTTTGGTCCCCAGACTACCTTCCCCTGCGAGGGGTGGCGGGGAGGAGAGGGAAACACTTCTCGGGCTTTGTGGCCGGGTTTTTCAACGAGAATCTGGGCAGAAACGCTGGGGAGAGGCAACGAGAGCTCGCCCCGAGCCTGGCTGGCAGCCCCTTACTCTGGAGAGAAGGAGAGCGGGGCTACAGCACCGCAGCAGAGCCCGGCTCGGGGGAGGGAAAAGCCCAGCAAACCCCAATTCCGCCGAAGTGCATTAGGTGGAGGAAGTATATCTCTAGCAGGGAGCAGATTGAGTGTATTAAGCTAGCATGAAACCAAAGGTCAGTGCAAATGTATCTTAATAGACTGTCTCAAATGGAGTGTGCCTCCTTTGAAGGCCGCTTGCTATTGCTCTCCTCATTACCATAGCGATCCTAACGTGGCATGCTGATGCACCATAAAACTCACACTTTCAACCCCAAAATCAGACCCTTTGAACAACCCGAGCTTGATTAGACCTTTCTCCTTTTCTTTTCCCCCTTAAAAACCATTTCCTTGCCTTTAGAAACTCGCTCTCAAATCCCAAACGCATTCTCTGATCCCGGCAGAAAGCAGAAACAAAAGTGAGCTGAGGCGACGGTTCAAGCGGGCCTTTTCTTCCTGACAGTCTTATCCATTTTTATTATCGTCTGGAACAAGTGCCCTGTTCGCGTGGGTTTTGTTTACCGGAAATTAAATGAAAATGATTTAGTTCGCGTCAAACAAAAATATATACTTGTATACACAAGAAAAAGGGCCTGTTAGACGTAAATATTATGTCCTTAATGAAAAGACTGGACGGGCTCCAGACTTCGCCTTTCACTATTTAACTATGACTTGCCTATTGCCATAGAAATCCTAACTTACCATGAAGATTCACCGTTGTGAAGAAATACTTCTTTGTGCGAGCTTGCTTTGATGTCTAAGGCATAAGATTCAGGCTTTCAGCTGCGTCTGTCTAGATTACCTTGAGAGCAACGGGGTAGACATCTGTAACAAGCAAATGAAAAATTAAAGGTGATTAGCCTGCACATCCAAATACTTCTGTAAATAGAGAAATAAAGAAATAAACAGATCTCAGGACACGATGAAAATATCCTCCCTGTCTGCAGCTGGTTTCTGTACCTCTCGTTGCCACGACACAAGTTTCGGGGGCTGCAGAGGGGCACAATTCTCCCCTAGTTTGGGCTCCTCTCTCGCACATTTCTCTCGCCTAGGTAATTCCCTATGTGTATTCCCGGTAGCGACACGCTCTCACTATTTGACGTGTTTAAATACAAAAGTTGTCGAGTTTGGGTGAGTGAAGAAGGGAACCCCCGGCTTGGTGCCCTGGGAGGGAAATAAAACCGCATCAGTAAGGGAGGTGCTGGACATGGGGGTGTTTTTATCCACTGACCAGCTATTTATTTTCCTGTAGCTTTTATATTTATATACATATACGTCTGTGTGCGCATGTGTGTACAGTTGTACACACACACTAACCCCGGACACCTGGGTGCAGAGGTGATGTATCAGACACTAGAAGATGCGGTTACAGCAGCCTTCTGTCTGCACTCAGCAAGCCATGCAAACCTCTTCCAGGAGCCCATGCTATTTATTTGCCTATACTATCTGGTATTCTTAAACATCATTAAAGTAATTAAAACGGCACCATTCGGCAGTTTCAAGCTACCCCAGTGGAGGGGTTTGTTTATTTATTTTGGTTTGTGGGTTGTTTT